CATTCATTTTGTTACATAATCGAGTTTTTATAATTTTATAGTTAAAAAGTGTTTTCTCTACAATAAAAATTGAAATCGATAAAATCAACGTCAAAGCCTCAACCATTTTCAAATCATTTGCGATCGTCTATCTTCCACAACGTCATTCGATCACTTTTCACATATCACCCTTCACATATCAAATTTAAATATTATTTGATAAATTTTAATGTTAATTGAATAAATTTGGTCTTAATTTGATAAATTTAAATATTAATATAGTGTTAATTTGATAAATTAAATATTAATTTAGTTTTAATTTGATAAAATTTAATATTAATTGAATAAATTTGAATGTTGTTTTGATAATATTGATTATTAATTTGGTATTAAATTAAAGAAAATGACATTAATTTGATGAGGTTAAATGTTAAATTAATGGAATTTAATATTCTATTTAAGACAATTAAATTTTAATTTAATAAAATTGAATGTTAATTTTGTGTTGATTTGATGAAATTAAATAATAATTTAGTGTTAAATTAAAGAAATAATATTAATTTGATTAAATTAAATATTAATTTTGTGTTGATTTGATGAGATCAAATGTTAATTTAGTTTAAATTAAAAAAAATACATTAATTTGAAAAAAATTAAATAAATTGATGAACTTAAAGGTTAATATAACAAAACTAAAAGGGAGTGTAGTGAAATTTTAGAATTAGGAGAGAGTGTCGTTGAAGTTAGGTCTATTTATTAGTGGTGTTGATAAAATTTATCCTATAAAATACTAAGAGTATTTCTGTAAAATAATGTTCGCATAACTGACAAAGGGTGTCAATGAAATTTCAGAATTGAAAGGGATGTCATTGAATTTAAACCTAACTACAGGGGAGTGTGAATAAATTTTTTCTTTAATAAAATTACATTCTATTTAACGGCATTAATCTAATAGGAGGTGTCAGTGCTATTTCAAACAATAGACGGGATCTCATTGAAAATATATCTATCTAGAGAGAGTTATAATGTTAGATGAAGCCTATAAGTAATTCAATGGTTATACACTATTAAATTTTTAAATTAGATCATCAAATTAGATTCAAATACCATTTTCCATTTTGTTACGGTGCAGTAACGAAGCTCCTGCTGAAGATATTTTGTATTGCAGGGAAGAACACAGCATAGCCAGTCTTTTTGGTTCATGCGGTGAAGAAAACTGAAACACTCCACTGTAAGTATACATAGCTGCATATATGATGAGCCCACAACTTTCCCACTCCGCTTGTGTTCATATATGGCCAATTGAGAATATCTTCTGCAATTACTGAGAGAGATACTAGGAAATGAGAGTTGCAGCACAACCAACCAACCAACCAAAATGGAATTAGATACACAAAAAAATTGACATAGTTCTACTGATCATGTGGTTGTCTTTAAAACACATCTCAAAAAGAAAATAGCTTGAACAAGAACCGCCCGTCAACATTACGAGTTGCCTTCTTTTCTTTCCCGCCGGAACATTAATTAATTTGATTTGAATCCGATATGAATCAATCTCTTTAAATCTCCCTCATTAGATCGATGTTAAAGATGATGTTGACACATGAGAGTACCAAAGGGTGCAGTTGGATGTCAAAGTCATGACCATCGATATGGGTGAGATTGGATCCAATTGCAAGCCAATCCACAAAAAAACAAACAAACTGGGACACAGATAGTGACTGCCTCCGTGTACATCATGTGACTTGGTCACTTGTGTTATGGTCTCTCTGCCTTTCAATTGTATCATGGAAGCGCGTAATAGTTTCTCCCCCTTGTCAAGTCAGGGACTGCCTGGAAGTGACTTGCTTAGCTTTTCAATTCTCATATAATATACTTCTTTTTGGGGAATAAAAAAACCTGGTTTGGTTGTTCCTTTCCACTGCTAGTCACATTCATTTTTGCAAGTTAATTCGTAAAATTATCTTGCTCTGTTGGAGATATAATGATATTCTCTCCCCCACACTTCCTTTTACTAGTACAATTCAGTTCTGTTTGGGTGCCTTCATTCAATGTTCAAAGAATATATTATATACCCCGTGGGCAAGACCCTGCTGCAAGTATATCTCGCATAGATCAGGCTTACAAGAGGAAAGTGCTACATAAACCAGGACTAATTAGGAGTCATGGACCAGACAATAGAAAATAAAAATGGTTGTCTTCATCTAGCTTCATCACAAGTCAAGTCACATTCATTTTTTGCTGAATACAAACCAACCATGCTCCCTAAAAATCAAAAGAAATATTGGATCAAAAATAAAAAGCTCATAAATGCATGAACGTAGTAGATATATCCTGCTTAAACCATCCGTCCTGCTGTGTATTTGACACCGGTTGAAGGCAACCATGAGTTTCCCAGAAGGAATTGAGACACGGTGAAGTTGCTGGCCTGAGCTGAGTCATTCATTGCATGGAACCCTGGCCACTTGACCCTGCTATCCAAACCAGCCCCTGGGCCATAGTTCATATATTCACCATAGTAGAGAGTATCCAGAGCAAAATTCCCATTCCACTCTAGCCACCCTTCTGCTCTAATTGCGCTACTCATGTACGATTGCATGAAGACTGTCCGCGAATATAGCTTCCACGGACGACCAAGGTATGTGGGCGTGGAGTTCACTGAAGCTAGTAAATCTGGCTCAGCAGATATGTTGGAGAATTGGATAGAGAATCCTGTGGTTTCAGCTAGCTCCCTGCGGCCCTGAGCTGTAATGGTGTTTTTTTGATTTGGTAGACCCTTCCTGGCTAGAATTTGACAGTTTTGGAAGACCGCGGTTCCATCTCCAAAGATGAAATCTACAGTACCAGTGATTTGGCATTCTCTGTAGAATTGGCGCATAGAGTGTGCATATAGTGTGTCCTGGTAAGCCCTTATGGCACATCGAAACAAGACAGATAAATCAGAGTCTGATCGGAATGCAACTGCTTGGTGCTTTTGAGGCCCTGCAGTGTTCTCAAATGTCATATCTCGTGCTATGAATCCTTGGCCTTTAACAGCTGCACATACCACATGTCGTAACATTAGAAACAGCGCCTTCATTAATTAGTTTCATTATTCATGGCACCACATTTGTATACTGAAAAAAATAAAGAACTGAGTTACTATATGGTTATCTGATTCAGTTCCAACTCTGCTATAATAAAGGATGCGAATTAATGGTGATTAATTTCAAATGGAGAAAGCTTAGTGCTCTGCTCCGCCACCCACACAGCTAGGGAATCAAGTTGGAGGCCAACAGACAATAGGTTATGGGTTCACATATATACTTACATGGGATAATTTTATGTTTCAGAATCAGAAATGTACCGGCTCACATGGACCAGGGTGTTGGTGGTAGATTTGTACACTAACACTGAAATCTGTATAATTTCTTCATTAATACAAACTTGACAAATTTTTTTTTGAAGACCTCCATATTCGGTGGAGACATAGCACATGTACACAAGCATATGAATGTGGCTTGGGCTTATTGACCTTGTCGAAGCCATAGTACGTACAAGATTGGGGGCCAAATATCGTAGGCAAGAATTGAAATTTCTTTTCGAAGCATCGTTTCGATCACTTCAAAAATGAAAACGTTTCAAAAATTCAATAGAAACACAAAAAAAAATGAAAATACATAAAAATGCAATACAATCCATTAATTTATAAAGATAATCTAAATAATTGATTAATTCAACATATTTATTGGGTTAACATCTATTTATACAAGAATAAACTTAAATTTGAGGGAAAAAAAAGGCTTGACATGAGACGAAAATCACTTAAATTAGTTTCAAACACTTAATTTTTATGAAATAAACATATTTTTACATAATATTAAGCTCTTATAATANAGAAAAAAAAGGCTTGACATAAGACGAAAATCACTTAAATTAGTTTCAAACACTTAATTTTTATGAAATAAACATATTTTTACATAATATTAAGCTCTTATAATACACATGAAATGCTAATGAGTACATACTTACATGACTACATTCATCCCCCTGTGGAGTGTCGACCAAGCTCATACATTGGTGTAGGCTCTGGATAGCTACTTAGAGAAACTTCATATGTGACATAAATACGATGATAATAGTTACTCTAACTCATATTATTACGGTAATATTATCCAATTAATAATACTATTTTATTATAATACTAATAATGAAGGGTATCAAATTAAATTAATGATACTTATGTATACTTAAAAATTAAATGTAATTGCAGTGGGTATTAAATGTAATTACAGTAGGTATTAAATATAATTACATTAGGGTATTAAATGTAATTGTTAATACTTATAACAAAAAAAAAGCAAAAAACTTGCACAGCAGTGAGGTATTAAATATAATTACAGTATGTATTAAATATAATTATAATGGGTATTAAATATAATTATAGTAGGGTATTAAGTGTAATTATTTATTCTTATAACAAAAAAATTATAAAAGACAGAAGAGCAGTGGGAATTAAATGTAATTATAGTGGGATATTAAATATAATTATAGTGAGTATTAAATGTAATTACAGTGGGTATTAAATATAATTACGTTAAGATATTAAATGTAATTGTTAATACTTATAACAAAACAAAAAAAGCAAAAGACTTGCACAGCAGTGAGATATTAAATATAATTACAGTATGTATTAAATATAATTACAATGAGTATTAAATATAATTATAGTAGGGTATTAAGTGTAATTATTTATTCTTATAACAAAAAAATTATAAAAGACAGAAGAGCAATATGAATTAAATGTAATTATAGTGGGGTATTAAATATAATTATAGTGGGTATTAAATATAATTACAGTAAATATTAAATATAATTATAGTAGGGTATTAAATGTAATTATTTATAGTAAACCGAATATATTACTGTTTCGTTGAAACGGTCCAAAACAGTGCCGTTTCGAACGAAACACTAGAATTTTGTGATTCAACTACTATTTCGTTTCGGAATATTGAAATTTCGAAACGTTTTGGATGTATCGACATGACATTTTGATCCTTGTAGGAAAAAGACGAATGTCGGTTTTTTGGTGATATTACAAATTTATCCTTGTCATAAATTATAAATTAAAGGAAATGAGCCCACCAAGCAATTGCATGTGTAATGTCATGGATGAGGTTGTCTCAGTTCATTGATTAAGATAATTCTTACCGAATGTTGCAGATCGGTAGGTGGTCCAACCATCACTGAAGCTCCGATTACCAGAAATAACCGTAACATCCATGCCTTCACCAACCATCATGAGATTCCATTTCTTCTTACTAATCTCCACATACTCTCTGTACACACCCTTCTTAATGTATATGACATACCGGCTTAAGCTCTGGTCAGGGGCTGCAGAGACCGCATCCATTATATTAGTGAAGTTTCCAGTCCCATCTGCAGCTATTATAGCATCGGCCAATACTCCTTTTTTTTGAAGGAGTTTCCTCTGATCCTTGCGCTTGACCCAATTGGGAAAATGGCCACTACTGCTCTTGAGCTTCCTCTCCGGGTGATAACTAGCACCACGGCCATTGACAGGGCCACCTTTGGACTTTGTGTCAGGAACTTGGCGTACCATGCTAAGAATGTCAATGATCAACGAGGTTACTTGGTTGAGGCTCTCAGCAACCAAACTTTTGACAATACTATTGGTACCATCAAAGCCTTCTTGGCATGTGTCTTGGTTACCAAGTGCAGCACTCAGCCATGTCCTCATATCAGCAGTTATATGACCAGTGCTGTTATCTTTACCTGTAATTGATGAAATCTTTCCTATCAGTCTTTTCAATCTTCTAAAGGAAAGTGTGAAATTGAACAATAAATTAGCCCAACAACTCAGAAAGGAGTCAGCGACTTGAAGAGGAGACATTGATACACATCTCTGTCCTTCTTATCATATCAGATTGTGTTCTTTGTTTTCCTTAACATAATATCAGAACAAGAAATCTTATATTCGAGTCTCGCCGTCACTTTAAGTATTAAAAAAAATTTAGTTATTAGGTCCAAAATCTAGCTGCACGCGAGAAAACGTGTGGAAGTATAAATACTAAAGTTACATTTTCTTTAATAACTTAAATTTTTTTAATTGGACGGTTGTTTAACACGTTAAAAGAATGACACAATAGTCAATTCTTTATAGGTACTGTTCAAAAAAAAAAAAAAAAAACTTTATAGGTAGAAGCCCAATTAAACGTGAAATATCTCATATGATCAATAATTTACACCAAGTTCCCAGTAGTCACCTAACATATTACGCTACTAATTGACCTTAATCAACCCAAAATTTCAAAAAAAAAAAAAAAAAAAGAAGAAAGAAAGATAAAACGTATATTTTACTGTAAAATATGAAAGAGACATCAGCATTCCAATAGCTGCTTTTCGTCCGGAATGCCTTTACCTTGGTGAATGGTAAAGAGTCAGATATTCTACTAAAGAAAAGTAGGAATAATGTAGCATCGAAAGAGAGAAAGGTGACAGAGACCCACCCACCATTGGGATTCTGAGAAGCAGAGAGAGTCCAGGTGAGTTCATCGGCAGAGAGGTCGAGGAGATCAAGACAGTCAGAAATGGCATTGGAGAGTCGAAAATCACCAAATGCATTGGTGAATTTGGAAACGATGGAGATGACTTGTCGGACTTCATCAATGGTGGACCTCACCGAACTTACGAACTCCGAAGCTGGGACCTTCAAGCATTCGGACTGAACGTAATCGGAGCCAGAGTTAACAAAGGTAGAGGACAAACATAGAGTCACCAAAATCATCACAGTACCGACGGCTGATGAAGAAGCCATTGGATTTTGTAGGGTGCCCAATGCAGTAAGTGGTACAGTAATAGTCCTAATAATAAGGTCTTATTGGAGAGCTGTAAATGAGAAAGGTAGGGGTTGTTTGGTGGTGGTGGGAAAGCAGAGGAGAGCACAGGGTTGATATGCTGGTATTGTAAGTATGAATGAACACTTATTAATGTGAGCAGATCAGAGGGGTATATATATATATAGAAGGTATTAAATAGGGGGGACAGTCACTGAAACGGACCAAGTGGGGTTAATGGTTACAGGGGTTAGGCGGCAGCTGAGACCATTAAAGGAGATGCTTGCTTTTATAAGGGAGGTGAGGTGCATGGCATGTTTCACTGATGCTAGTCTTACTACTAATGTGGGGTAAATCGGTGGTTGGTGTCGGCGGTCAGCTAAGTAAGGGGGAGAGAGAAAGAGAGAGAGAGAGAGAGAGACCAAACGCGGGGGCATCTTCGTAGTGCGTGCCAGCATATTAGCTTTCTTTCCCTTCCGGTCATTTTCTTCTTCCCTACGCTCTCTCTTTAACATCTTTTTTGCTGTTTCACTTGTTATAATTTTAATTTTAAAAATTTTATTTAAATTTAATTTATTGACCTAATTTATTATAATTATTGAATTACTTGCGAGTTCCAACAAATATTAAGATTCATTATCAATTTAATATTTATGAATCAACAAATTATATTTTCTCTTTCAATTTTATTTCATATCCCCAAAAGAATGCAAGAAATACCTTTTACTTTTTATTTCAATATCATCCCTAGTATATTTGCTAAAGCATATTTCATACCATATGATGTGCTGTTATTGTATGGTAATAAGGCTCCCCCCATTGGGCCACGGCCCGACCCAATTGACCAGTAGTTCATGTAACGGGACTTACCATGTATGATATTGAATGCTTTAAATCAAACTAGGTTATTGCAACTTCTCTTATTTTATTCCAACTTTAAATAAAATAGTTCATAATTTTATTCCAACTTTAAATAAAATAGTTCATTGGGTAGCTAAAGCTAGTTCTTTGCTTTTTTAAATTAGGTCTCAAACACACCATATATGAGTTGAGTTGTTGGTTTTACTATTAGTGTCCCTGTTTGTGGCCAACCTTGAACTTGACCTACCTAGGTGATGCAAACTTTTGGGGATAACTCTGTCATGCTGGCAGATACCAATAGTAACATCTCGGAATCATATTGTGCCTCAATACAATTAACCTGGAAATTTTCCAAATCTCTTGCGAATCTAACGTGTACAGTATTTTGTTAGCGAAGCTGTGCGTTGGAATGACTATAAACAAGGTGTCTCAACACAATGAATTTTTAATTGTTCAAAAAAAATGAATTTTTAATGTTCCCATTTATGTATCTTTAATTTCCACACTCACTTCGCCATGCTACATTGGAGTCAGTTCTCACAGGTCATAGAGCCATGGGCTGATCCACCCCTTCTCTTGACCGCTCTCTGAGTCTTTACTAATTTATTAAAATATCATAGGTTAATTTCTTACTTGCTCAAATTCTGCTTCATTTTTGGTCCATCTGAGACTCCTCTGACCTTGACCCCGACTCCATTTCGAACCTATTTGTTAGGCTTTATAGTTTTCGTGAATTTTATTTGTCAAATTTGGCTCCTAGGATCAAGCATATATATACTGTGTATGTATGTATGTATGTATGTATATATCTCTTTTTTATTTACTTTAATAGCAATTAAAACTAAAAGAGAACCAAAAATGTGGAGCTTTGTTAGCCCAATTTGCTTTGCTTCAAGCCTAGCTTGTACAATGAATTTCCTGGTTCTGTACTAGCTAGTTAATTAGTGAAGCGAAAGAGTAGCTTAAATTAGTTCTCATCCCATTTCATTAATGATGTGCACATCTAATTTTAACTCATAAATGGAATATGATATATTTATGTTCAACGCGCTTAGTTTCTAATAGAAATTCTTTAATTCATCTACATAGAGGATTTTAGCTAGGGTAGGGAGTTATACTTTTACTTGCTTCATGCATTTTTTCAATTTTTCCTTGGATGGTGCTGAATGATAAACCTCGTTCTCGAATTCTAAATCAAACAATTAATTGCAACTAGCAATAATAGCCAAGAAAAAGAAATTAACAAGATTAATCATATCAAGAATAGTAGTGCTACTTATATAATTTTCTATATTAAAGTGAGGGGGTGGTTGGGGGGGGGGGGTCCTTTATTAAATGCCTACATAACCCATATAGAGATATGGCTTTAGAAAAAGAGATTGGACCCCAAAAGAAAGCGTTTTACAGCTTAACTTGCTTATACATTTTGAAAAACACAAAGTTGGTGTTCAATTCCATCCTCTTTTTGTGTATATCTAATTCACCTTCGATCGAAGAATGTTGGTAGCTGTTAGATGGATTTATTTGAGACTGTTAGATAAACTTATTGAAACCTGTCTATTTTATATTATAGTCATCAACTGATCAACATCATATCATATATTACAATTAGAAATAAACTTGTGTTTGAAGATACTATATAATATTAAAAATTAAATTGATCTCACAAATATTTATATTTTAAATAATATTTTTTTTTTAATTACGTAATTTAAAATTAAACTGAAGAGAGAGATTGGTGTGGATTGATAACATTGTTTGACATTGAGGAGTACGTTAATTGAGTTGTCTGGTATTAAGTGTCGTGTAGAGAAGTTGATGTTTTTGGGCAAAAAAAAAAATTGAGATTAATTTTGTACCCTTGGATCAAAGTAGATAAAAATTAGATCAATTTAAATTATTATTATGCTTTTATAAGTTAAGAAATTAACTTCCTATCTATAATATAGATAAATTAGTTATTGTCTGTGCTTGAAAATACAAAATAATAAAAAAATGATCAACAATTAACATATTTGTATTTACACCCAAAATCAAATCACAAACATAGATGAGAGATAAATAAATTTAAGCACCGCCGCTTGTAATGGCCTGAGAAGTGATGTGTGGCAGTAGTGGTGGTAGGAGACAGTGATAGTTGTAGTAGGCGACAACGATAATGGTAGTAGTGTTAGCCATGGGGTGGTGAGCGATGGTAATGCTAATGGTAGTGATGGGTAATGACAATAGTGGTGATGAGTGACGATAGACGCTTCTGGGGTGATAGTATGATACGTGGTGGCGAATGGCGGTGGTGGGGGGTGGGTGACGACAATGGCAGGGTGATGAAGAGTGGTGATAGGAATGGTGGGGTGGGTGATAGTGGCTAACGGTGATAGTAGGCTACGACGGGTGGTAGTGGGTTGCGACGATAGTAATGAGATTATGGTGGTAGTGGTAATAAATATAAAAATGGTGGTGGATGGTGGCGGTGACGACGATGGTAGTAGTGGTGGGAGTAACAGTGTCGGTGGGGGTAGTGGTGATGGTCGTGAGGCGGTGGGGGTAGTGATGGTAGGGTTGATGGTGGGATGATAACGATTTGTGGTAGGGTGTGGCAACAGTGGTAATGGTGTGGGTGCAGTAGTAAGGATGATGGTTGTGAGATGTTGGGGGTGGGGGTGAGGGTGTGGGTGGTGATAGTAGAGACGGTGGTGGTGGTGGGGTGACGATAGGGGTGGTGACATCGACTGTAATTGTGGTGGGGCGATGGTGGTTGTTATGGCAGAGGCGATGACGGTGATGGTAGGGGGGTGGTGGTAGTGGTAAGGTGGCGACAATAATGGTGGTTATTATGGCAAAGGTGATGGCGACGATGGTGGTGGGAGTAGTGGAGCGATTGGAGGGGTGGCTGGTGGTGGTGGTGGTGGTAACGTAGTTTCAAACACTATTTTTTTTTTTAAAAGTAGTTATAAGTTTTTCAAACACTTTTAAAAAGACTCTAAATACACTCTTAGAGATTTATTTTCCTTATTAAATTTGAGTTGTTAATATTAACAGTCAGATTAATATTAAAATAAAATTTAAAGATATCTCAGCTACCAAAAACAAAAATTATTTTATTTATTTTTTAAAATTTAAATTATATTATACCTTATTATATGAATTGTTATTTGTCCGTTGCTTTACCCTATCTATCTTTAAAAGATCATGCTATCTAATTATTGCATTTGCTTATGGAAATTAGAAACAAGGCAAGTAAAACTGAGCCAGCGGCCACTACTAGTCCATAATTAATAATAATAATACATTTACGTGTCTTCCGTCATGAAATGATGAAGGGTAGGGTCATACAAACTTACATGTGCATTGTGTTACGCCCACATCCACATGAATCCTCCCTTTTCCACTGTCCATTCCTCAATAATTGTTTTCTGCACTTCTCTTTCATTTATTTTGTGTGTATTAGTATTGGCCAATTTTTAACGTACGCTTGAAAAATGAGAAGAAAGGGCATGGAAGGGGAAAGATAAGAAGAAAGAGCTTCTCCGATCCATGTAAAATCTAGATCTAGAGAGAGAAAGTCGTCCCTTCCCAAGGCCTTTAATGGCAGGTTTCAGCACACCCTACCCATTCCATTCCAACCTTTTGCAACCCAACCCAACCCAACCCAACCATGAACCAACCCATTGAATTTTGAACAGCTACCCTTTCACCTAAACCGCTTTGACTTCTCTAAAATGGACAAATTGGGATTTGAATTTTCTCGTACGTGTGTTTTGTTTCGTTGGATCTCACAGCAATATTAATATAGGACGAGAAAGGTTGAGTCCCAACATCGTGCAAGAGGTGGCCATCTATCTCTCTGTCAAACCCAATACTTTCAAGTATTATTAGAGGAGAAGCATCGTTTTAGGCAGGCCAGTTTGGGAATGCCATGGTCATTGTCGGAGCCATTGTGTTGTGTTGGGCTCAATCTTCAAATCTGCCCACCCAACACGCCTTGTTGCTCAATCAAATATCTAAATGAGCCTCCACCTTTGTGCTAAATTATTTTTCTTTCATTTTATGTAAGTATATTTAGGTGTACACCCTCAAAATGAGTAATTAATAGGTCTATACACGAGAGTGTGACAACATAGTGTCAACAAATTTGACACTATATTGCATGAATTAGGTATTTCATGTATAAATTAACAGGCCTTATGTTTAATAGTATACTCTCTTTTGTGAAGATTTTATCTTCTTAAAATCAAGGGTTCAAGTATTCCTTCTTCCTCCTCTGTCCCTCTCCACCCCTGCAAAAAAAATTAAATTAAGTATTCCATGTATGAAATATAATATATAAGCTTATCTTGTTGATTGAGAATTTATTGAGAGAGAGAGAGAGAATGAATAGTGTTGGATAAAAAAAGAGTAGCAGACCTAAATTTTACTTTTGTTTGGATTAGAATAGTCGGGGAACAACACTTCCCATAAAAAATGATGTGCATCAATGAAACCAATTAGTTAAACAATGGTACATGCATGCATCTAATTAATAAATAAGAATAGCAGGGTGTTCATAGAAAAGGAAAGGATATATATATATATATATATATAGGAAGAAATATGGTAGACAGGGGTAAGGGATAAACTCAATGGTACATGCATGCATCATTTATAAATAAATAAGAATATTAGGGTTTTCACAGAAAAGGACGTGAAAAAAATATATGATAGTAGTATGGATAAACTACATTAATTTACCTTCTCTATCTCCATCGAACTTTGACAAAACAACACACAATAATACCATTAGTGATATTTATTTTAATTAATTTACACAGAAAACTCCATATCCCAATTTGTTTACATAACGTCGTCGTGCAAGAAATGAGCAGTCTGAGTTCTCATTAGATAGAATCAATCAATTAGGATATCCAAGCAAAATTCATCCACTTAATTGTTCACAAACAAGCAGATATGGCCAAAGAGGTGATGCTACGTTTGAACCACTTCTCTTCTCGGATATGTAAGACACGTGGGCCGTCACTCAATCCATAAACTAATTGAGTTGATTAATCTTTCAAGTGATTTAATGGTTAAGTTTATCGCCTTACAAGAAAAATGTCGTAAACTTGATATTTTGTATATCTTTTAAATATCGATCATTATTGTTCTTCAAGAAATATATTTTTAAATTAATTCAATTTACGGTCACTAACTCAAAGCTTGAAAAAAGAATCGGTACAAATCTAGACATTTTATAATAAAAAAAATCAATTGATTTGATTCAAGTAATAAGAGATAAAGATTTTTTCTCTATTTGGTCATAATTTGATTAAGGAAACAAAAGACAACTTGGTTGGAACTTGGAAGCAAATCATTTTGGCACGTCAATTTCCATCTACGACAAAACTTGCTTCCAAGACTGTACTAGATGAACCGATTCTAGCAAAGACAATTATTATTACGACGGTGATATTTAGTATCATTAATTAATAAAAATAAGATAAATATGTCTCATTATTTTAATAATTTTCAATGTAATTATTGTGTTTATGAACTAAACAAATAAGATTTACTTATCCTATGCTATATATTTTTATTGATTTGTAATGTTATATGTCTATAATAATAAAATATAATTTTTTGCTTGACTTGTTTAAGTTTATGAGTTAAAAAAATACAACAACAACCAAAATTGTTTATAATTTAATTTTTTAATGTTTTAACCACGATAATTTTTAAAATTTTAACTATGTAATTTATTAAATTTTTTAATTTTTTAATTTTTTAATTTTTTAACCATAATAAATTATTAAAATTTTAATNTGATAATTTTAAAAATTTTAACTATGTAATTCATTAAAATTTTTAATTTTTTAACCATAATAAATTATTAAAATTTTAATTTTTTAACCTCAATTAATATATACACGGAAGACATCACATGGTATGTAATGAATATTTCCTCCATTGTCACCTCCCCCGCCCTGACCAAACCAGTTGCTGTCGTATGAATGCATGNCGATAATTTTTAAAATTTTAACTATGTAATTTATTAAATTTTTTAATTTTTTAATTTTTTAATTTTTTAACCATAATAAATTATTAAAATTTTAATTTTTTAACCTCAATTAATATATACACGGAAGACATCACATGGTATGTAATGAATATTTCCTCCATTGTCACCTCCCCCGCCCTGACCAAACCAGTTGCTGTCGTATGAATGCATGCTGATACGAAAGTGGCCATTTATAATTCAATCTATAGCCCCTCTCTTATTTTCTCTCTTGTTCGTTCTCTCTCTCTCTCTCTCTCTCTCTCTCTCCTGCCACTCACCTGCACCCACACGAACTAACGAAACAGACGTTTTGCAGAGGGTTATTCACAGGAGGAGTGGCATACGAGGACTCGGATCATTTCAGAAATTCACATACAAACAGGTATATTCTTCACCATATACGTACCTGATCCTAGTGGGATTTTGAGCTTCAGCATTTGCAATTTATGATTCGAGAGATATTAATACTAGTCTCTTTAACAAAGAACCTAAATATATATATATGCTATATCTTACGTTATATTCTTCAAAGTGACAGAAAACAGAAAAATTGTTGATCGTTAATTGTTATTGAGCACAAATGTAAGTGAAACCATCCGAGCCATAACATTGTTACTAGTATGGAAAAGGCACCATCAAATTTCATTTCACTTTCACAATTTGGTGCAAGTTATGATCGCTTGGAGGGATAATTTAGATCAGCCATGGTATGGATTTCACCCTGCCAACTTGAAATAGCTGACAAAATTTGGGATAAAGGAGAAAGCTTTTGAGGGGAATACTACAACTTTAGGATTTGGATAGGCAAGAGGGCTGTCCATCAATGAACCTTTTATTTATGCACTTTAGGTTCAGAACAGGGTACACAAACAAGCATCAATGCATAATGCATGCTTTCATTAAATTCTTCCGTGCATGGATTAGATTGTGGATCACTTCAATTACTTTCTTTATTTGTACAAACATATTGATGCAGCGGTAAACAACCAACACAAAAAAAATCATNCGTGCATGGATTAGATTGTGGATCACTTCAATTGCTTTCTTTATTTGTACAAATATATTGATGCAGCGGTAAACAACCAACACAAAAAAAATCACGGTTTCTTTGTGGAAGTAAAATACTCCAATATATGATATTATTCATTGAATAATCTGNACTTTCTTTATTTGTACAAACATATTGATGCAGCGGTAAACAACCAACACAAAAAAAATCATGGTTTCTTTGTGGAAGTAAAATACTCCAATATATGATATTATTCATTGAATAATCTGTAGTACATAGGAAAAATACACATAGGAATGGTCAAAGGCCTAATCGTTTCTGACAAGGAAGAAAATCCATAATTAAATTTATTGAAAATAAAAACTTAAAAATTAAGTAATTGACATAAAAGCACATTTGTTTGGAGTCTAATAAAACTAACGGTACTAAATTCAGAATCTTTGATTTATTATTAATTTCCGAATTGTTTTCTAAACCAGAAAAAATAGGGATTTGCGGGTCTAAACGATGGAATTTGGTCCGAAATTGAAGGAGCTCATGACAAAACGATGAGTATTGATTTAATGGGGATCAAATGGTGTTGGTTCCACTTAATTCTGAGTCCAACCTATTTTACTTTTACTATCACTTTGTAGCCTTTTGCTGCACCTTGAATGCACGACAGCGCTCCTGCCATAAGTAATTTGCTGCTACCTGTTCTACATTAGATATAGGTTGAGAAATTCTATGCATGTAATGGTTGCAAGAACTCTTCCATTCTATCATGTAATAACATGTACATATAGTTTGAGACAGGTTAAGGTACCATGCTTGGCAATGGTGTTGTAGGAATCCTCTCTGAGTCAACAAACAAGTGGGAAAGAAGGGTTCCTCTCACACCGTCACACTGTGCTCGACTTCTGCATAATGGCAGGGGTAAATCTGGAGTGGCGCGCATTATTGTGCAGCCATCCACAAAGCGTATTCATCATGACGCACTTTATGAGGATGTTGGTTGTGAAATATCAGATGATTTGTCGGAATGTGGTCTCATTTTGGGGATTAAGCAACCAAAGGTACCAAGACTTGACTTGGATGGAACTCATTACATGATTATGAGCTTCTGACTCTAGGATAACTATTTGGTTCTGGTGCAGTTGGAGATGATTCTTCCTGGCAGGGCTTATGCCTTTTTCTCTCATACTCACAAGGCACAGAAAGAGAACATGCCGTTGTTGGATAAGGTATGAACTTGATGTGTGTTTGTAGTATCATGATGACTTGGTGTTTGCTGACGTTCGACATGATGTTCAGATATTAGCTGAAAGGGCGTCTTTGTTTGATTACGAGCTTATAGTTGGAGACCATGGGAAAAGGTTACTTGCATTTGGAAAATTTGCTGGTTTAGCTGGGATGATTGACTTCTTACATGGACTTGGGCAGCGTAAGTTCCATTGCACTGACTCTCATATTTGGAATTTTGGTTTGTTTTAATTTATTGAGATGGACTTGAATTTTAAATTTAATTTTATTTGTTTGGTGAAGAGGTTGGCATGGTAATTGGAACCTATGGTCACTTCATTCAGATCTGTATTAAATTCCTGGTCTCTTAGGGTTTTTTGGATGGTATTATTGAAGAGAGATAGGTGCAGTGTTCTTGTTTTATTTAGCTTCCTATGGTTCCTTGAAATAATAAGACTAAAAGGGCCTTAAATGCTTGAGAAAGGAACCTATAAATTTACATTTTTCTTTTCTTTATGTCATAGCCCAAAAAAGTTGTCTTCTTTTGTAGTTTTAGAGTAACAGCTTTCAATTAGTGCACTCCTCTGGAGTTGTTGTAATATAGGCTCACTTCATAAGGTTGATGTAATTATATATGGATTCTAAGGGCAATGAGTTGCCATCCATTAAGACGTATAGTTAATATATTTTTGTTCATTTCAGGGTATCTTAATCTTGGATATTCCACTCCTTTCCTCTCATTGGGTGCATCTTACATGTATTCTTCGTTGGCAGCTGCCAAAGCTGCAGTAATATCTGTCGGTGAAGAGATAGCAACTGTGGGACTGCCATCAGGAATCTGTCCTCTGGTTTTTGTTTTCACTGGTTCAGGAAATGGTATTGGAATTCTGTAAAATCTAGAAAAGATGATTTGATGATTTTCCTTTAACCTGAACATTTGAAAATTCTCTAATGTGATGATTTACAAACTTTGTTTTCCATATTTAATCTAAAAAATATCAGTCCACTCTTTTTTGTTGCTAAACCTTCCAACTCCTTTCATGTACATGCTGTTACACTTTTTTCGGCATTGTTTTATGTTTTCTGTAGTTTCCCATGGAGCACAAGAGATTTTCAATCTTCTGCCTCATACGTCTGTGGATCCTAGCAGACTTCCAGAACTATTTGGAATGGTAACTTTGAGTAAATTTTCTTTTCTTAACCCGATTATTTTAAACTCACATCTAAGTCAAGCATCATTGCACGTTCTCGTTTTATTACCAGTGACCCACATTTGAAATGCTGTTTATACATCTAGTTACGCATAGGAGGGTAACTAACTTCAACCTCTTGAGCCTTTGGTTCAATGGTACTCCTTGGCATGTGAAGGCTTTGCCTTGAGGTCAAGGGTTCAATCCCTCCCCCTTCCCCTTCCCCTTCCCTTTCAAAAAAAAAAAAAACTAAAAAAAAAAAACTACCTTNTTGTGAAGGCTTTGCCTTGAGGTCAAGGGTTCAATCCCTCCCCCTTCCTCTTCCCCTTCCCCTTCCCTTTCAAAAAAAAAAAAAACTAAAAAAAAAAAACTACCTTCAACCTCTCAGAGGCTTTGAATGAGAGGGACAGAAAACAAACTGGCTTGAAATGACAATGTGTCTCTGTACTTTGTGGCACCTCTAATCAGGATTTAGGAAGAAGTCTTAGCCTGATAAAAGATGCAACTAAGGTGTTGCAGACCCCATTATTTGAGGCAGTGTATTAGTCTGGTTTGGGTTAGTCCATCAATCCACAACTAACAAGGCTCTTAGGTTCCTTTTTTTGTTTCTTTTTGTGTGTGTGAAGACATGCATGCACATACTTGTAATCATTTGCTAAAGTGTGAGTTTAATAAGCAATATCATTCCATCTCTCGAATTGACATTTTCATTCATCCTGAAATGAACAATTTCACATTGTGCTTGAAATACTCATGTTCCAGAATCCAGATGCATCTGTAACTATATGGACCAGAAACATGCTTGAGTTGGGATGTTTCTTATGCTGCAGTACTTCTTAAGTTGGAGTTCTGACGAAGGCATAATAAAGTGGCTCTGATGGGCTTCATCATATGTTGAGTCAGCCTCCATGAGGTTCACATGCCTGGCATGTGTTCTTCATATATGAGTTTCCACTTTGATGTTTGTATTGATACTTTTTTTTTGTTAAGTAAGTGTATATATTGAGAAGTAAAAAAATATTTACATGTTTACATGAGATATACCCCAGGCAAATACAACAAACCTATCCATACCTTGATCCTTTGATAAATCTATTTCATTTTCCCCATTTAATTGTCAATTTTTCTTTATTGCTTATTTGGAAAGCGACATTCTGTTATTCTTGTAATCAATTTATTGCAAAAACTTAGGCCAGAGACCTTACTCAATCTGCACGAGCATCAAAGAGATATTTCCAAGTATATGGTTGTAACGTGACTTGTCAAGACATGGTTGAACATAATGATCCTGCAAAAGTCTTTGATAAGGTATATGGATGATTTCCTATGTATTCTTTTGGGTTTGTTTTACTGAACATGCATTGGTTCCTTTTTGTTACTTGCAAGTAGCTTACTTGTAAATGTTTTTTCTCTTTTTGGTGGGTAATTTTTCTTGCTTATTTGTAAATTTTTTTGCCCTTTTTGGTGGGCAATTTTTCTGTGTTGAGGGGCTGCTGACATCTTCATCATTGTTGATGTGCGACAAAATTCTGAAACAGATGCAGTAGCAACTATATAACAAAAGCAATACAATGTAAGTAGAATGCTCACCTAGATCGACAGAAAGAAATCCTTCAATGGGTTTGGCATTATGAAGTAAATAAACATTGTTGGTAACAGTGAGAGTAGTAGATAAAAATTGTTGGAGGGACGAAGTTAGGAGGATGTTGTGAAAGTTAAGTATAGAAACCACAGCTGCTGAAAACTGCTTTTTTTTTGTTCCTCTCAATAGTTAGAGCGAAAGTGTCTGATAAGGACAATCATGCATTACCCTAGATACACTGTGCATAGTTGTCATATCATAAATACTGGACATTCAAAAAGGCTTCTCATCCGGTGACTGTTTAAACTTCAAAGCCAAAAGTAAACTCTTCCATTGATATGGTCTAAGTCAACAGCGTTATATATGCCTGTATGTTGTATCGTACGTGTATGTGAATTATAAAGGGCTGTAGGGCTCCCTCATACAAATCGTCTTACCTTGTTGAAGGTCAGATAAAATTCTTGGTGTCTTGTACAACCACTAGAAAACTTTTATCTTCCAGTTACCTGCACCTTCAAGAATTGAAATGTTGCCAATAAATCTAAGTAATTTATTTGCTTCTAATTCCTAGCTCTTCCCATCCCTCTTCCCCCCGATAGTTTCTTAGCATCCCAAAAATAACATGGTGGGCATCAATTTAAGCTTGATAGGTATGCAAAGCTGCACAGTTGTGATGTATGGCATTGCCTTCAAGTATATTACTAGGCATTCATTGTAGAACCAGTGGATTCACAAATGCAGATCCCTTCGTTTCTGGAATGCCTATGTAATTAATAAACATGCTGGATGTGGCCTAAAAATGTATTGTACTCCGTGGGAATATGCATTTGTGGAAAAAGTACCAAACCCACTGACCCTATTATATATAAGACATATGTTGAAGTTTCAGAGTTACCGGAGAATGATAATATTTTTATCGTTTTAACTTTTTGAGTAAACATCTTGATGTAGATTAGGAAGGGAAAGAATTAGAGATGAGAAGTGAAAAATAGAATTAAGGAGATGAGAAGTAGAAGAATTAGAAAAAAAGGGATGATAAGGGAACAAGAAGATCTAGCCAAACAGGTAACTCTCATAACTAATCTATAATATCTATCCAAGTCCTACACGATCCCCATCACATCCACTGTTCAAAAAATAAAAAATCATGGCACAGTTTCTTTCAAACAAAACAATTTTACTAGTTTTCCCATACTTTTCTCATTATAGGAAGAATCATCAAAAGCTGATTTAAAAAAATTATTAAGTTAATCACTTAGGCGAAGTAATTAAAGAAAAGGGCCATAAGGAGCTTCAGTTGTCGATGTTTTCACTCGATTGATTCCAAATGACAGACTTCCATTAAAAAAATCCATTCATCTGCTTGTATAGAGAAACGTTTTTCTGGATAAGATCTTCAATTGGCTGGTTTCTTTCGAGAGTGTGTGTATAATACATAGAGACTTTTGGATCCCTCACCTGTTAATCTGTAGGGGATCTTTCTGTGCAAGATTTTAGTGCAAAGTTGAAAGCGATATTTTCTCATCAGTTATATTAATTTTACTGCCCTAAAGTCTGGTGTAATTTCTGCTGTAACCAGATATGTTGTCCATTTTCTACTTATCTTCTTTCTATTTCATTTAAAGTATTTTATCTTAGTTGCATCTAAAACAGTCAATGCTTTTAACATGGTTGAGATATTTTAACATGTTTTTCTATTTCAGGCTGACTACTATGCACATCCAGAGCACTACAAACCAATTTTCCATGAAAAAATAGCCCCATATGCTTCTGTTATAGGTCAGTGATATTACTATAAATGTGTATGTAGTGAACCACCATCAATTTATTGTTGTTACTTGTCTGTTATAGGTACATAATTAATTCCATATTTTAGGAGCATACAAGGTCATAATTTTTGATTTGTACTGGATTCCGAATCAATGCTACCCTCTTCTTATGCCAATAGCAGTCGTTCAACACTTATTGGACAAAGAGGCTAACACGTGTTGTACAAAATTTAGAAAATGCACATTTGTGTATCATTTTATCTTTGAAAAAATTGACACTCTTATACTTCTATTTTCCTTGACATCTAATGAACACAAAGTGAGAGTGTTGTAGAATCGAAACTCAACAGTGGAGACACTGCTTAAGTAAGGATCAAAATTCTAAGCCTGCTAACAGAACAGATTGGGTACAGATTGGCTTTCAACTGATCCAAGCCAGATTCAAAAAATGGGATCCCAATATGACAAATTTCATTTTCACAATCCATATATGATCTGTTAAAAAATGAAAAATCTGATCTGAACACAATCAGATCAGATATTCACATATACCAATCCAAATAAATGAAATAAGATATAACAAATTTGGACTCGCATAATCGATCGAAGCAAAAAAAAGAAAACCCTTATCCGACTAATCAGATTTATTTTGGATTGCATTGTAAGCCTATAGATGTCAACCACTTTGTTCTAAAACAGCAGTGGCTTTCTTTTTTCATGCACCCATGTTCTGCTCACACTTGTTTCTCCTTTCTTTCCACTTTTTTNCAAAAAAAAGAAAACCCTTATCCGACTAATCAGATTTTTTTTGGATTGCATTGTAAGCCTATAGATGTCAACCACTTTGTTCTAAAACAGCAGTGGCTTTTTTTTTCATGCACCCATGTTCTGCTCACACTTGTTTCTCCTTTCTTTCCACTTTTTTATGTTACTTGACTTTCCTTTTTATTCTAGAACTCTTAATGAAAAATATTAAATGATTTTGGTTGACATTTGTTTCATTGGTATGTGTACATCAATTTTGTGTTGTGATCTTCCTTCTAGGTGTTGATGGAGTTTCTATTACAACTAAGTCTAGGTGTTAATGGAGTTTCTATTAGGACCAAGTCTTTAGACTGTTGCTATGTTGAACTGAGGGCAGTTTCAGGATATTTAGAAATGTTTGGTACCATGCATGGAATTGATCCCTGAAGTTTTCCTGTTATCTTAGTTTCATCTAAATGACAAGAATGTATAGTGCAGGGTACTTAAATCTCAGTTTACTTAAATTACTTTGTTTACGCTCTCATTTTAGTTGGGACAAGGCTTTGTTGACTCGAACTCAATTGATTTTTATAGTATGTATCAGCATACTTGGCATTGGGACCAAGTAATAGTCAGTTATCTTTATAAAATGGAAGCATAGAGTTATTTTGAATTCTTGGTGTAAGTTGTGAAATAGTGTAATACCGATGAAATGGACATGTAATCGGGACTGAGAGAATCACTGAAATTAAAGTAAAACAAAATAAAATAAGGACATGAGGCTTGGATCTAAATATTCTAACGAATTAGGAATGATCATATCTCGNGCCGATGAAATGGACATGTAATCGGGACTGAGAGAATCACTGAAATTAAAGTAAAACAAAATAAAATTAAGGACATGAGGCTTGGATCTAAATATTCTAACGAATTAGGAATGATCATATCTCGGCCAAATGATCCCCGGTCTACAATGATGTGAGCACAATGAGAAGTTCTACGAGTATAAATAAGATCAATGATGCTTGTATTGCGGGTAGTTCAAGGTGGTGGAAGGATGTAGAGAGACCAAAGTGAAATTGCACAGGTATGTACTGATACATGCACTTTTGTGCACCGTATCATTGGTTGACTTTGATTAGAACTTAGACTAGGACAGAAGAGGCTGAATAGGTTTATATGAAAATTGTTATCTATTTTTGACTAATGACCTAATTCAAACATATCAAGGATTGATTTAGACTTTTCAATCAGGCGACTAACAATTGTGATAATATGCAATTATAATTGTGAATGAAGTGTTATCCAACTAACCAATGGGCCATAAGAAACAATCTCCAACTGACCAAATAGATATAGGAGAAATAGGTAGGGGTTCGATATATAAAGGATATATCTCAAACTTGTTACTAACTTTCTTATGTGGGAAATCAATGGGTGAAAAAGCACGGGACCTAGTCCATGTCTCACCATACACTATAGATTACAGAATTTATTGACGACCCAAGCCCGATATTTTACTGGCCCAACTCAACTCTCTTTTATTGTTCAACAGAACTATATTGTTGCCTTGTACTGTCCAATTAATTCCCTCCATCTTTGTTCTATTTGTGTTTTCTTGCAAAGCTTAACCCTTTACACTTCACAGGGCTGTCTATCACGAACTGATTAACTCTCGATTTGTTTTGCCACAAATTGATCACATATAGTACATAACCTTTTTACGCCAATTCTCTCGACAGCTGTAACCTCGTCGAAATAATGAATTCACTCTCGAATAGTTTTGTTTTTCACAGCAAGACTTTACTGGGCTGCTCTCTCTTTAGAATATAAGGTAACATAGGGTATCTATAGTTAGAAAACCCAAACCCTATAATTCTAAGTGTAAACAAACAAAAATTAAGTACATTGTTTGAACAGGAATCCTCCATCGTTCATATGGTTTGAATGTTCAAACGGCCATGGAAAACACATTGAATGTTGCTTTCCGAAATTCAATATTAAAAACTCACTGAACTTAGTGCGAACTCCCATCAAGGAGGTTCGAATAGTGATGTTGTCAAACCATCTGCTTTAAAGGATGTGGCTATTAGAGAGGGTGTAACACAAGTATTTATACTTTAACACGACCCCTCACGTGCACATTAGAATTAGGGCTTATCACATGGAAATCTTTTAACTATGAGGGTGGCGGCGAGATTCGAACATAAGTTCTCTTGAACTAATACCATGTTGAACCACCATTTGCTCTAAAAGTTTAAGGCGTTAAAGAGGGTGTAACTTAAATATTTATAACTTATGTATTTATACTTCAATAGTTACAAACTTACCATTTTCAGTTAACTCCTTAACAAAGTTTTTCGCCGATTATTTGGGGTTTGGTGATTTAGAAACTTATGTCCCATAAAAATCGTGGCCAATATATCACACGTTTATCAAATCACTGTTTAGTGAAAACCATTCAATCAACCAAAGTGTTTGAATAGGGTCTCTAATTAACTTACCATTCCTAAACTTGTGTGATATTCCGAAGCTTGACACGAACATAAGTGACCTCACGTAGTGTTGTAATCAATGCTCTAGCAACTTATCTAGCAATCCAGTTCAAACTCAAATAATCAAGTATCACAGTTTAAGTTTAGGAGAAAGAAGAAGAAAGAGAAAAGATAAAGAGATTGAGAAATTAATGTATGTAAGAGAGTTACAATATTAAGAAAGTAGACCATAATAGGAAAGCGACAAAATAGGAAAGTAAATTGTTCATACTCTCCCTCAAGTTAGAGCATAGACATAAAAATGTCCATCTTGGAACACTTGAGATAAATGTGAATGAAATGGATACAAACTAAGTGTAGAGCCCCCGTATATATAGTCAATAAAAGTCACAATAAAGATAAAAAGGTAAAAAAGGGAAAAAGCTCTAATAAACCCAAATAACCTAGACTGCTATAACCCCAACACTCCTCCTCAAGCTAGGCGCAAAAATGTCAACTAAGCCAAGTTTAATAACGGAGTCCCGAAGAATGAATAGAGTGACAGGGTTGGTGAAAACATCTGTAACTTGATCACTGGTCCCCATAAACGATGGAGTGACAATATCACTACTAACCTTCTCCCGAAAAAAGTGAACATCAATATTTATATGCTTCATCCTTTCGTGTAATACAGAGTCAGAAGAGAGCTGAATAGAAGATCGATTATCACAATATAATGTAGATGAAGAAGTCACTGGAAATTCTAACTTGTCAAAAATCGATAGTAGTCAGATAATCTCATATGTGCTTGTGCCAGTGCCAGTGCCAGTGCCCGATATTTTGCCTCTGCTAACGTGTGAGAGACAACTGATTGCTTCTTGCTTTTCCAAGAGATAAGGTGAGTCCCTTGAAAAGTACAGAAGCTCGTAGTAGATTGACCGTCTCATGTTCCCCCGTAATCTAAATCTTAATAACAGGTTAGAGAACCAGTCTGAGATCCTGATATATAGAACAACCCAAGAGACTTGAGATAGCGAAGAATATGATAAACTGCATCAAGATGAGGCTGACATGGTCTGTGTATGAATTGATTAACTCGGCTGACAGTGAATGAAATGTCTGGCCTAGTGTTGGCTAGGTAAATAAGTTTACCTATCAACCTCTGATAGACAGTCGGATCTCTCAACTCCTCACCTTTAGCAGTAAGTTTCAGGTTTGGAAACATGGGTGATGATGTCGGTTTGCACCCTAGCATCCCAGTGTCTGAGAGAAGATCCAGAACATACTTTCTCTGAAAAAGAACAATACCCCTGCTGTTATGGGCAACCTCAATTCCAAGAAAGTATTGTAGAAATTCAAGATCCTTCACATCGAAGGCCTTACCAAGGTCTGCCTTGACCTGTGCAGTCCCAGAAATATCATCTCCAGTAATAATAATATTATCAACATATACCAAAAGGATGATACATTGTCCAGAAGTATTCCATCGAATGAAGCAGCTATGATCAAAATGACATCTGATGAACCCTAAATGTACAACTACACCACTAAAGCGAGAGAATCAGGTCTGTGGTGACTATTTCAGTCCATAAAGAGACTTACGCAATTGACATACCTTTGCAGCATATTCCCTCTTACCACGAAAGTCCGGTGGTGCATCTATATAAATAATCCTGTTCAGATCACCGTGAAGAAATGCATTCTTCATATCCAACTGATGAAGAGGCCAAGAGTACTCCATAGCCAGAGAAATAATCAATCGAACAATAGTCAATTTTGCCACAGGGTAAAGGTAGCACC